ACAGACCACAGGCTCTAACCCCTCCCCTTGTTTTAAGGGAGAATTAGAATTTTGAGTCATTTCTGAAAAACATTTGTCTTCTTAAAGCTTCCTTTAATTCCCAGTCTTTAATTAACAACAAGAAAGTTTCTTCAAATTTGTGTTTCTTGACACAAACCTGTTAGTTTTTAACCCATCCACTGTGGACATGGAGAGTGAACTGTTCTCACTCTCGGTTTTCTCTTCTTTAGCATAATCAGTTCCAGTCCTCTCAATCTTTCCTCATAGGTCATGTTCTCTAGATGTCTGACCATTTTCTTCACTCTCTCAGGGCTCTTTCAGATAGTTTATATCTTTCTTTGAAATCTGATGCCCAAAATACAATAATCCAGCTAGAGCTTTACTCCTGCCAAGCAGGGTTGAAAAATTACTTCCTATGCTCTGCAGTCCCTTCTCCTGTACATGTCCCAGAATGATGATCTTTTTATTTTATTGCATTAGCACAACTTTGTTTCTCACTCGCCTTGTGATCCATTGTAACACCCAGAATCACTGTTTGGTCTTCCTCATCCTGAGCAGTAGGTTGTTTCTGTGGAAGTGTTGTCCCTCTTGGTTTTGCTAGAGCATTTCAATTTTTTTCCCCAAGTAATTCTCCAATTTCAGAATATTATTCTAAATTCTAGTAATGTTTTCCAGTTGCACGTTTGTAGTCTTAGTTAATATGATTTCTGTTACCTAAATTCTTAAAGAAAACATTGACTTAAACTCCACAAGAACTCCACATCTTTTCAGTTATTTAAGGATTCATTAGTAAATGCTCTTTAGTTATAATTATTCAAACAGTTTTCACTTTGTAATGCTTTAACCTAGACCTTGTTTCCTAGAATTTGTGTATTAAATTGTTATGTGAAATGATGTCAAAAATCATACTGAGGTCAAAACAGAGGACAATGTTTTGCTTTTCCGTATCATTTCCCATTTTTTCCTTCTTAGAGCAGATTAGCTTGACTTGATGTGGTTTGTTCTTGACAGATTCCTGTTGAATATTATTCATCTACTTACCGTTCAGTGGTTTTCAATTCTTTGAGTAACTGTTCTCTTCTTGTTTTCCATGCGTATAATGTGAACCGAGCGGTCCGTAATGAGCCGGCTCCTTTCTCATTGCACTCCTGAAGTTAGGCATGTACCTGCTCATCCTTTTTCTGCTTTTCAGAAGTTCCTAATGACAGTAGTCATAGCTCTGACAGTTATTTCCTTCTCTTCTTGACTATAAGACCTATCCTATTTGAAAACATGTAATTGATGCAAATATTCTGTAGTCCATTCCCTAATCTTTGGTTTTACTTGTGATTGAATTAGGCACCTGCTCAGAGATGACCTTTCTAACAGATGTGCCAGAAATGTGTTAAACACTTTAGCTTTCCTAGTGTGTTGGCAGTTACGTTATTGTTTTGCTGAGTTAATAGACTATCCCTCTCCACAGTCACCACAGAGGAAACACACTTAAAATGCCAAGTTCTTTAAAAAAGTGACTCAGGGTCTGGCAGTTCTTCCACTCCTCTGTTGCTTTAGCATCCAGAACTCTGGACAGCAGAAGGGTAGAGACAGTGCAATGTTTAGGAACAGGGAAACGTAGCCCTGCTGCCCTATGGAGAACATGCTCTGTGAACAGCACGGATCCTCCTGGTTCTGGCTGCTGGGGCCTCTGTGGCTGGCAGGGGGAGGTGCATTTGGTTCTTTTTTTCACATTCTTGAACTGCCTTCGCATCTGGTTCAGCCCAAAATCACAGTGTTTGCAGTTACAGGGACATTGTTGAACGTTGCATCAGATAATTTGGAAAAGAAGGGAGGAACGTGTAGTGGTGCAAGGTCACTAGGGAAGGTTTTCTCTCACAGGTGGGTAATTTGAGGCAGAGACACTTAGTATTATTTCCAGAATCCCATAGCAGGTTTCGCAATGTGAAATATCATCCAGGAGTCCTGGCTTAAGCATGTTACTCCAGCCACGAGGCTCCACTCCTCAACAACATAGAAAAATCTCTTGGGCTTTAGGAATAGGGGGCAGGTTGAGATAAATGGGAAGGGAAATAAGAATGTCATCTCCACTTTAGGGTGTAATACTCATTTAAGAATGGTTAGAGCTTTTTGAATAATGAATCTCTTTCAATATTTAATGCCGGTAAAATGCTGTCTGAAGAACAGGTATTGTAAATGAAAACTGAAAAAAATGTTGCCGGAAAATTATTATAAACCTTAGGGAACTGCTAATTTCAAAAACAGCACACAGATTTCATTTGTAGTATGACTTTCAATTATTTATATTTATGTAAAAATACCTGGAACAATTCTGATACCTTTTTGTTTTTATCCCTTGCAGCTCTCAGACAGCTGTATAACGGATTACTATGAAAAGTACAAGGACCGAATGAATGAGCTCGAAGCATTTAATATGGTAAAAATCATGGGCTTAATACCATTACCTTGTACATATGTGCTAGTCTAGAACAAAGCCCCGTTAACTTTTATGTGGAGGTGGACTGTCTTACACTGTGGTATGCAACCTCAAAAACAAAGCTGCTCCCCCTGCTCCAAACTTTGGAGCATATCCTATTCCAAAACTATATTAGGTGTTAGTAAAATAATAAAGAGAACACATGGAAGATTCTTTTGCAAGAGGGACTATTACCCTGAAAAATGAAATGTTAGTCTCCTTTTAAATCTAGACTGGTCTCCATGCAGTTATTTCATAAAAGTTCTTTTTATTAAAATTCATTATTTCCCTCTTTAAAATTGTTCTGCTTCATATAGTATCATTTTCTTGTTGGACAGTGCCTCAAAGCCAACTAAATAACATAGTTTCTTAGTTTTATGACATTCTATGTATTTTTGATCTTCAGTGTAATCTGTTTTGGAGATGTCCATCCCACAGGGAAAATTGGCAAGGTGACATTTGTACAACAAATCCGCTAGAATATGATTGACCTTCCTGGAATTGTTTTGTGGAAATGTAGCCATTTGGAAGTCTGTTGGCTCTCTTCCCTAAAATCCTAATAGCATCTAATCTTTCAGTTGAAGGTAGTTCTGGCGCCCTGCATAGAAGTTCTGATACTTCTGGATCGTCTTTGCTACCTCAAGGAGCAGGTATTTTTGCATTATATTTTATGACACCTAAAGGCTACACTGGTGAAATGAGGCTGTTTCAGCCAATTTATTAGTGTGCAGGCCAGAAGTCTCTGTTGCAGAATTATTATTCTCATCATATTTGCAAAAGTGTAAGTATTCATTTTAGTGTAAACATATGCCTAGCAGATGTTTTCATTTTCGGTGTAGCAGCAACAGTAAGGTTTGTGTTCTTTTAATTGTACAGTAATTACTAGTCAACAGACAGTAAAAAAAATAAATATACAACAAATCTTAATTTATACAACATATTGAGAGATATAATAATTGAAAGGAATATTGAAAGATCTGAACAAAAACTATGATGTGCATGCTAGAGCTTCCAAAGAATATGCTTTAGAACATGTACTTCAAGAAATCTTGAATTAGGTCCAAAATGCTCATTAATTCTTTTTATTGTTTCTTAATTAAGATCTATGATGAGAGAGGGTGCACTTGCTACAACTGTATGAGTCGACTGAGGTACATTTGACTAACATACAGCCTGGATATATTATACAAGTAGAGACCTGGGATATAATAAGCAAGTGCTACTACATTTACTCTGCAATGATTTATCTATTACAGTGTTTCTACTAACACTAATTTTGAGCTTGGCGGGATTAACTCAGAGGCAACAATCATACCTTCTCTGCAGCAGTAAAAATTTTTGACAAGTTATAATTTGTTTAGGAGGAAATGGTAGTGTCTGGTAGCTTCTGCTCAGGGACATGCGCAAAATAAAATTTTAAAATGAATTTTAAACCCGTTCATGTGAACAACTCTGTTTTTTCCACTATAAACTTTTAATTTTAACATCTCCATTTTATCATAAGTAAAAATTCACTTTATTTTCTGGCATAGTGCACATGGAACAAATGAATTGTAGTAAATGTATGCTTTTTATCTAGCTGGTGTTTTTGCAGAAAGGCAATCGGAAATATGTAATAGTGGTGTATTTTCCCAAATGCCAACCAGCTATAAATCACATAGAGATCTGTATGATTTCCAAGACAGAAGATCAGACTTGCTGCACTTAGCACTAATTTACCTTTTCTAAATGCAATACACCCATAGATTTAATCTTGTACTGGTTGATTCACAAAATATGTTTAGGAAGAAGAAATAGGAGTGATAAAAGCCATACGCAACATGAAGACCAAATCCAGCTGGCCTTATTCATTTGAAAAGTCAGTTAATTAGCTTCAGTAGTTGTATGTGCTGCATAAAATGAGTAAGATTTGATCCTTAATTTCTTTCCTTCTACATCACTGGAAAGAAAAGCTTTATTGATGATGGAGGTGGTAAAGTGTTGCTTGAGAGCACCAAAATTAATGTAATGACTTTAGTGTTTTGGAGGGTTGTTTGTTCACAACAAGCTTTCAGTAATTTTGTTATTCCATAAGTGTTTTTCCTGCTTTGAATCAAGGATAATATTTATGTTTTGCAATTTCATATTTGAAAATGTGGGCATACTAACCTTTAAGTCAAATACATTTTTATGTACATCAATCATATATCATTTTACAGGACAACATTGCTTGGTCTGGACTTGTGAAGTTATTTGATCCTGTGAAATCTCCCAGATGCTATGGAGTTATTGCTCTGAAGAAACAGTCGTCTGAAGTGGAATCAAAACTACAGATATGTTGAAATCTCTGCATTGATACTGCCGTTTCCTCACTTTTTTTTCCTATTACTTGTAAGTGATTCCTCGAGTATGATGATGCATTTGATAGCTGTTCAGTTTATATCTGCAAAAATAAAAATTGCAATGCCTCTGTAACTCATGATAAATAAATAGTGATCTGTAGTTTATTTATAAATACCATTGCCTTCTTGTGTCAGTTGCTAAATAAAAGATCTGATTTTTATCATAAAAGTTATGGCCCATATTATGTGATTAGTGTTTTAAAATAGCTTTAATGTTTCTTCTTGTTATTGCATTTTACTTCTGTGTTAGTGCCCCTTCTCTAGGTGATTTCTTCTTTTACTTGCAAGATCACTTTTCCGGACTGTAAACCTTCTCACTCCTTACCAGTGGCTGCCATCAGTCCTCACACACCAGCCTTGCCTTGGTCTTTGCTGTATTCAGACTGTGCAGACCTTAAAAGGAATATTAACCTGTACTGTAGACAGGAGGTGGTTAAACTAAGGGAAATCTTTGTACTTCCCTGTTCTCCAGATCATCAGCACCAGCTCCCTTATGCAGCCACTAGAAGAGCCTAGAACTTGCCTAATGCCCAATAGTGGATATCACCCAGAAGGGGTTTTGCATTAACCTCTTCGTCTTTCAGGTGTGTTCCGGGTGTACTTAGTCACTGGTCATGCTGAAAAGAACTGCTGGGTGTGATCCACTCAGCTGGGAAACTCTGCAGTGTTTAAGAACCAGCTGCCCCGCTGGGTTTCGTGCTGTAACCCCCCGGTTATAGCAGGAGGCTGTGGTCTGGCCCGAATGTGTTGGGTGTAAACACCTGGGTGCCCAAGTGGGTTGTAACTCCCAAGTTTCTGCTTGGCAGAAGTGAATTCAGGACTGGGAAACTTCTTTGTTGCTGCATTTGCTTCAACGAGTTGCCTCCTTTAAACTTGCAGATGTTGTATTGGTGTTAAAAAAGAGAAATTTCCAAGTGTCAGTGCTTTTATTAGAGCTTTCCAGTGTACATAAAGCATAATTATCTTCCAGTGCACAGAAGAAAAGGACAACAAATAAAGAATAAAATACAACATAAAAGAAGGAAAAGGCAGAATGGGACTTCAGTAGGCAGGAGGTCAGACTAACCTGTTAATATTATTTTTATGGTGTAACTGAAGTGATGATTATGGAATTCGGACTGAGATTTGTATCTTGACTGGAGAGCAGTTTTATTCCATTTTGGTCTGCAAAATGTAATGAGAGTTTGTGAACAGGACTAGTCAAGAAAAGAGAGCAAGGCACCCTCTTGGCAAGACGCATCTTTTTCGAAGAATTATTTCTTTTTGGTAGTGAGCTCCATTTCATTCCTTGTTGGGTGCGTGGATCCAGCGTGAACCTCTCACATTTGTTTAGTTTCAGTATTCAGAGTTTAGGTTCAATATTCAGAGCCTCTGGACACCTGCAGTGCCAAGCCGTGCCTGGCTTGCTGTAACACAGCCCGGGTTGCATCGTGCACGTCGAATATAGCTAGCCAATACTGTGCAATATTTTAATGTGTCTAAGTGAATGTAATCTAGGTTATTACTATTTTAAGAGGACAGGTTAGAATAACCAGCACATCTCTAGGATTAGCCCGAGTGCTTTTCCGCCGGTTCAGAAAGCTCTGGATAACAGCGGGTGCCGCGGCAGCCCCTGAGAGCAGCAACGGGCCCGGCACGGGCACCGGCCCTCTGCTCACGAGGCTGTTGGAAGCTTTAGGCACCTCATGGGAGAATCCCAAGACAGGGATCAAGGTGGATCCAACAATTTTTCATCGTGGTTGTTGCCAGAAATCGTTCCATAATGTGAACGGTATCCCAGATATGATAACATCTTTGGACAGGAAAGAATCCCTATTTCCTATCACTGTGGCAGCCCTGCTGAATCCCTTAAGGAATGCTGGATGTACCTGTTTTTCCTCAGGTGCTTGCCTGATATTGTGTTCATGGCACACTGATGGTTTCTGTAGCAGACTTGTAGTGTTTTGTTTATGCTTCTTAGACTGCAACCGTATTTTTGGATGGTCAGAAAGGAGAATGTGCTATCTTAATGTCTAAGAGTATATTGCAGCCCTACAAAAACCTGCTCTTGTGGCTATAAACTTACAGTTTCAAGTTTGTTGTCATTAGTTTAACTTTTTTTTTTGTTAGAAATTATTTTCTCTGTTGTCGTTATTCATTGAATTACAGTTAAAATAACTGTCTGCCTGGTGCTAAGATGTTTTTACTGTGTCATGGCATATATTTAGACTCAGGATCTGTATGTCCTAAGATTGTCTAAAATCTGAACAGGGTAAGCATGCTAAATATATCTGCATTGGGGACAGCTGTGTGTCTTGTTGATTGCTGGAGTGCTCTTTCCTATCATTACTTATTGGTTCAGATCTACTTTATTCCTAAAAAAAAAAATTCATGACTGTATCATCATGTTGTCAGAGATCACTCATGCTAAGGCAAGTGGTAAGAAAGGACCAGCACCAAGAAGGTCTTTCCTGCTTAGGAGGGAAGTAGCAGCTGAGCGTGGCCCTTCAACCTTCCCAGCTGAATACACAGTATTAGTATTTTTAAAACTCTTTATCTTAAGTGTCTTACCATTCTTGCTATTAGATATCCTCACTCTTACTGACATGTGCATCACCGGACTCTGAAAGAAGTGAGGTCCATGCTGGACGTGGGAGCCAGGAAGCGTTTTCGGAGTCCGTAATCAATTCAGAGCAGCGGTATGGGGTGTCCAAGCATGTTAATTGGCCACCTTACATTTAGAACTGGAACTTCAGCTTCCTTCCTTAGTTCTGTTCTTAGATCCGTGCAGATTTTGCAGTTTTCAAGGTGTCCACGCTACTTGCTAGGCAGCCACATGGCCTAATTCTCTGGGATCCAGCTACTGTTTTCTCACCATGTTACCTGAAGTAACCAGCACGGTTTGGTGGTTCCAAACTCTTCACCTCTAAGCAACTGCTGGATAAGCCTTATTTAGCCCCTTTGCATTTGCCTGTCCGTGACTGTCATCTGCATTAATGCTGTATTCAAGAATGCCCTGACAAGAGAAGTAAAACCCTTTAAGGGTTTAGGACTCCACAAAGAAATTGCCGTTGTTTGGCTTCTTGCAGTTCTCTCCTTTGAATCCTTGAAACTAGTGCCTGAAGATCGGACAGATGAGTAACTAACAGACTCCCTGAGAGGCACAGGGTATTAAAGATATGATACGAGGCACAGTATTTTATTTCTCTTTAGGAGTCAATTTAGAGTCAAGAGCTCTGAGGCGTTTTTGTCACGGAAGTTTCAGTGTGCAGCATCATTAAACTCAGACCTCCAAGGAGAGTCTATGGAAACACCCAACAGGAAAGCATGAACTGTCAGGAAGGAGACAAGAGGCTCAGATTTTAAACTTGCCTAGAGATCTAGGACCTAGCCATAAAAGTGAAAACTCCTCTTTGGGTGACAATCTGATACAATGTTCGCCGCAATAAATTGATCCATTTTCTACTTAACACTTGGTTTATAAACTGCATGAAACTGTATTCTGAACTGTAGTTTCAGTCTATGCATCCCTTTTGATTTCTTACATGTTTAATGTTATATTGTGTCAGCCTGTTGGACTTAGAGAGTGGCTATGTATACCAAGTAAGGATTTACTGTTTCCTCTTGCAAAAGACATGTTGTCTGAACAAGATACAATTGTTTAATAACTTTAAGACTAGCAAAGACTGTTCAAAAGCAAAATGCCATTTCTAAATTTAATGCTGTGTTAACTGTGGATTTTAAAAAAGAAAAGACTCATTTGGAGCCTGAGCAAACTTTTAAGTTCTTATAGTAGAGATCTCGGTTTTATGTGAGATTTTCTCTTTGCATCTGGGCCAGGAGGAACTTTTTCCTGTTGATAAAGATGTTGTCAGGGCAGCTGGCATTGGGTTTCACATGGAATTTATCACGAAAATCAAAATGCATTAAATCTACCGGGCCAACAACTCAGACTGTTAGGCTGGAGCTCAGATTGCCTGAGCACAGAAGCTGTCAGCGCTTCCATGAATCACTGAGGAAAAGAGCAGAGTTGTCTGCTTGCTGAATAACTCAGTGGTGGCTGGCACCAGGAGAGGCAATTCCCAATCAGAAGAAGCGCTGATCACCTCTTCTGATTACCTAAACCTTCAGAAGCAATAATTGATACGCACAGTTATAAATCCACATTGTTTATTACACCTCCTATTGTTGGAGTCGTGAATGAAGACTGACAGTCGAAGCAGCCGTGCTGTTTCGCAGCTGTAAATCCTAAATTCACTTGTTAGTCTTAAAAAGGCTGAAGTCACCAAGAGGACACACAGATGTTAGGAAGTGTGGAAGGAGCTGCACATTACTTGGATTAATGTGCCTGTTGCTAACCTTTTAAAACTCCAAGGCATGGGTATCGGTTCAAAGAACACAACTCTCAAAATGCTCAGTGGACAGCACATAAATCAAGGTTTATTAATTTTAAGCTCTTCACTGATTGTTTATTGGCAGACTAATGATTAGTTGGCAAAGGTCATAGGGATGGTTTCAGCAAAATTGTTGCTATGCTCTTTGTGATTAAAGTTTATAAACAAAAATAAAAATGTAAACCCTTTCATTTTGAGGAATCTTAGTTTTGATTCAAGAATATGAAGAGCAGTACAGAGTTATGTACTGAAAATGTGTACTATTTAGTTTATTAGATTGATTCTTGGTTTAGCTAAGGAATTTCTGGCCAGCAAGAGCTATAGAGCTCATTTGCTTGCTTTGAAGTTATTTGGTCACATTTCTGTAGTGACATTGAACTTGGTGTTTAATAAACAGGATTTAATTGAGTTCATTTACAAAAAGAAAATATTCGAGGAAGGAATCTTGAGGAGAGCTGCTGAACATGTACTTATCCTCAGACACAGTACTGCAGAAGTGGGAGAAAAAAATCAAAAACTGGATATAAGATGTGATTTTGGAAAAGCATTCAATTAGTGGTGATTAATGACATGAATCAAGATTAATGCCATTTATCTAAACATCAATCATTGAAATAATGAGTTATGTGGAGGAAAAAAAAGAGAGAGAGATTCTCTCTTAAATATGAATTTAAAGAACATTAAAACTGAAATTGTCACTTATCTCAAGGTACCCGCATCCTTTGAATATTGTTGCATATCT